TGCGCAACATCCATTCATCTCTCTCATACTGACTTGAGCGTCGGAGGCTCTACGCCGGAAACACCTCCGGCGTTGAGTTTTTGCAGTTATCCTCGCGGTCTAGTAACTATTCCAAGGCGGTTCAAGCAGACCTGAACTCAAATCCACCGGTTCTCTTCAGATCTAGAAGTAGACCCATCAGGGTCCGATTAATTTTATTTGATAGGACTCACTTAATATGAGTGTTATGTATACCTCTATGTCTCTTCTTTTTATTCTTGTGGGACCCGAATAAAATCTCTTGTACTTCAAATCTCATGGGCTCTTTAATGACGCTACCAAGTGAGTCAGAGTTCTCCCTTCTTCCGTGGATGCTGTTATCTTAATAAGAAGGCAACTTTTAGGTAAATTGCACCTACTTTAACTAGTACCTTTTCGTTTACCAGCACAGGGAGAACCTTTACCTCAAACTGTAAATTAATACTACAATATTTCCCTTCCATTTTTATTGAGTTTTCTATTTTCGCCAATCTATAAAATACAAACTTAACTTTCTATTTTTTTTTTTCTATTTGAAAAAACATGAACAATGAAAATTATATTTTCACGACATTGTGGATAGAGTGCAAACTAGCCGAGTCGAAATGAGCATTGATCTTATCGTGGGCTCGATTTTCCCACAATTGCTTGAGCTCAATCTTTACTTTTTAAGATTCCCACTCGACTGACATACACAAACACTTCAGATCAGATCAAACTCGACTCATAATTTCATCAACTCGAATTTCACTAGATTTAACTTTAATTTTCAATTAAAATTTTGTATTCAGATAAGCTTTCTTGTGTTTGACTCGATTTTAGCTCGTTATAGGAGTATTTAGGTAAACTACTGTACACTCGAGCAACTAGTCAAGTACTGAAACTTATAATATATATGTTTGATTACGACTAGAGTTCAAATTCGAAGGATATGTAAAGGAAAAATAACATAAATAAATTTTGGAAACAAGGAAATAAGAGGCACACTGCAAACAACTCGTACCGAGCATTGTTCTTATCGAGATCGACTCGATTTTTCAATAATGCTTGAGTTCGGCTAACCTTGACAAATTTCATTAGTTTGACTTTCGCTTGTGTTCAACTCAAATTTTAAATAAAAAATTCTATCAAAACTAAAATTCTTTTTTTAGGTTTGACTTCAATTTTGCTCAATTTAACTCGAATGAGAAGTATTTTGGATAAATTATACATATACTCGATCGACTTACCACACTCCAATTTAATTAGAACATAAAACATGCTCGAGTTTGAGTTTGACGTTTGAGCTCAACTCGTGTTCGATCTAACTCAAGCTCCAACCGAACCTTCGATTGAGCTGTTCACTAGTCAACTCAACTAGATTGCAGTCTTATATTTTTTTTAATAATTTTTAGAGTTAAGTGGAATTCTAAAACAACAAAAATACATGGAGATGAGAAGTGGAATAAAATTTCGTATACAATTTATACTTTTGAAATTTCAACAAATCTGAAAAAGTCATAACAAAATTGTGTCTCAAATAAAATATATTTCGGGTCTCTTTAAAACTATTTAAAACCTCAAATGAATACTATCATACTTTTAAAAGTCTTAAAAAATTTAAGTTAAATATACTATAGTTTCCAAATATTTAAGAGTATTTAGAAATTTCAAACAAATACACAACTTTTAATTTTCAATAATATAATATATTTATTATAAATATTAAACTCTTAATAATTGAGTTAAATGGTCACCTTGCATTATGTTTGTAAGTAAACCAATTTATTATAAAATAATCATTCATTAAAAAGTGTAAATTTATTCTCTTGGTGGGATGACATCATCGAAATTGTTGGATGATTTTATTTACTATTTAGTTAACAAAGAGTTAGCATATTAAAGTTTAAATAGTTCGCTCATAAATTAACGGCTCACATAATTTTAACTATCAATTATAATTAATTAATATTTCATTATTTTGAGATCTTGTAACCATATATTTTATTTTATTCATGTATTTTACAATTAAGAAAAAGAACAAGTATTCAACTTCTCACATAATATACTTTTATCAATTATTTATTTTAATACCTAGACAAAACATTATTTTTCCTTAAAAAATTAAAGATTCTTTTTTTTTTTTTTTAAAACGATAAAACATAAATTAAACTCAAATAACAATGTACACCTGTAATCCACTGATTACAACTAATACCAACTAAAATGAGTTGGTAAACGAGAGGGAAAGCCCTCAACTCCCAAACACACCATATTAAATAAAACAAGCTAAAACTACTACAAACACAAGGTTTAGAGATTCACAACTTTAATTTTGATATTAGTCATAATAATCAAAAATACCATAATAATCATAAGGACCACAAAAATCATAAGGACCCCATCCAAAATAAGAGTACTTCAAGACTTGGATGTGGCTGGAACTTGATTCAGAAAAGATAAAATGGGCATAACAAAATTTAAATATATGAAATTAAGTTAGTAAGTATAATTTTGAGACTCTTTATTCTTTAATCAGGTTTGCTCTATTTTTTTTTTTTCTTTTTACTAAATTTTAGTTACTATTATTTATATATATATAATACTAGTTATTTTTATGGAGTTGTACATCTTCATCTTAAATATTTATATATATGTATGTATATATTAGAATGGCTTATTATAGTTTTATCAATCCAATCCAATGGTATTACTAGTTTTGTCTATTACATTACTTTATAAATATCCGCACGTTATTTGTTAATTAAAGTCAACTAGATATCTTAGGAAGTAGATATAAGAATTATCAAGTATTCTATAATATTAATAGTTAGTAAAATAATATAGAAAGTTTTACAAAAATTTAATCAAATAGGTGAAATAGATATATATTTTATTTTTACTATTACTATTTAATAATAATACTGAGTATTGAGCTAGCAATTAAATGCATCTTGCCTTGAGTTATCATATAATATATAAATATATATATTAATAAAAATATATTAATGAAGAAATATATTCACGTATCCTCTATTGCTAAAGCTAAATCACTTATATATATATATATAATAAGTGTGGCATGGAGAAATAGAAATACATCTGTCCGCGCAATTTTTTTCTCACGTTTTGTTAAGATTTTGGCACGATTGTGCTGAGTCACGCTGTTACAAAGACTTTCTATCTCCAGACAGTGGGTGAGAAATGGTCACGCCACATCAAAAAAATATGGGACATAACAGTAAGCATTGGAGAGAAAAAAATTAAAAAAGAAAGAGTTTGAAATGCTTATGTGGCCCATAAATTTTTAACTCAACAGTCTTGCGCTGTAGATGCTCTTATATACATCCACTTTCTTCTCAACGAATATTACTAGTGTATACCCCGTGCGATGCACGGAAACAATATTAAATTAATAATAGTATAAATAGACCTCGAGTTTGAGTCACTCAATGACGGAAGTGGAAACTACTATTGTTCCTATTTAAAAAGAGGAAGCAAAAAAAATAATTATAAATTAAAGAAGAGGATAAACAATACTTAATAATTATAAATTAAAGATTCGGGGTCAAACAATGTAAAATTATTTTGTATAAGAGAATATAAAAAAATTTGATTGCACACCATTTCAAAATTATTATTATACTTTTTTGTATGGTTAGCTTATAATATTTGTAAAAATATTAGTAATTAGACCGATGAAAATTAACTTCTTAAAGTAGATAATGGATTTCCAGTAGTAATTATGAATTAGTTTCTATTTTATTTTATTTTTTCTTTTTAAAAATAATGGATTTTTAGTAGTAATTATGAATTGGTTTCTATTTTATTTTATTTTTTTAAATCTGTATAGATAAGGGATGAGATTTTTTAAACACGTGAGATCGTATGCAATGGGATTTTGTAACAGAAGAGATAAACGTGTAGATTTATACTAAAAATAGGAAAAAGAAAAACAAATATTTATTGTCAAACAACGATTTTGATAAACTAAAAAAAATGAGCCGATTTTTTTGCCTATTCAGATTTGTCCAACAATTACTATATTAGGATATATTTAATGATTTTGGCGGGAAAAAGTTTCTAAATTTGTAAAAAGGTTATTCTTTTTATATAATGATAGATTTTATAATCCCATGCATTTTGTTAAGTTTCCTATATTCAAATAAGATTTCCATCCATTTTGTTAAGTTCTATTACACCTTCATGTTCATTCCATCACTATATTTGATAGACAAATAAGCTAGTTTATATTTTATTTGGTTAGCTTATAAGCTCCGTTTGGTAGGACAAATTTTTTAAAAATTTTCGGGCTTATTTGAGAAGCTTGTTTGGGTTGCTTTTTAAATAAGCTCGTTGAAATTTTTATTTCAGTTAGCTTATCAGCTAATTTTACCAAACACTTTTATCATATAAACTAGTTTTTCAGCTATAAATCATAAAATATAAGCTATAAAATCGTTGAAATTGCTTGAGCTCAATCTTGACCTTTTAAGATTCCCACTCGACTGACATATACAAACGCTTCATCAGATCAAACTCGACTCATAATTTCATCAACTCGAATTTCACTAGATTTCAACTTTAATTTTCAATTAAAATTTTGTATTCAAATAAGCTTTCTTGCGTTTGACTCGATTTTAGCTCGTTATAGGAGTATTTAGGTAAACTACTGTACACTCGAGCAGCTAGTCAAGCACTGAAACTTATAATATACATGTTTGATTAGGAATAGAGTTCAAATTCGAAGTGCTCGAGCTCAAACCAATTTTTGACTTAAGCACTGTCAAGCCACTCGATTTGTTGGCAATCATCTTTGGATAATGGATAAAAAGGATAAAAACAACACTAAGTTATATTCTTAAATTAAAAAGGAAAAATAATGTAACCAATTGATTAGTTAGTATTAAATCTTGCACAAAAATAATTACTGTAGTTCAAGCTCACGTCCAGTTGACGGCGAAAACATCACCTGCCAAGCATGAATTCAAAAGTCGGCGGCAATGGCGACGGCTTCTCATTCCTCAACCAACCGTCTCATCAAACCTTTATTCATCCGCTCATTTTCCACATTCGCACCAAAAATTCAGCCGAACCCATTTTATAAGAAGACGTTTTCCCATTTGTTCCAAGAATGCTCCAGAGAGCGGTCCCTCGAACCGGGCCGGTAGGCCCACGCCCGGATGATAGCGTCGGGCTTCGAACCCACGGTCTTCGTAGCCAACTGTTTGTTGAAGATGTACATAAGATGCTCCCGTTTGGATACCGCTAGTAAAGTGTTCGATAAAATGTCCCAAAGGGATATGGTCTCGTGGAACTCTCTGATTTCTGGGTATGTAGTATGTGGAAAAATGGATATGGCCCAATCGAGAGGGATGTGATTTTGTGGAACTCTCTATTCACAAAATTCGCCCCTGGATCATGGGGAAAGAAGGTTTGGCTTATGACGAGACCACTTTTGCTGTTGTTCTGAAAGCCTGTTCGGGTTTATGAAATGCTATTTGGGTTATCAGGTGCACTGTGTTGTGGTCAAGTCGGGATTCGAGGATGATGTGGTGATGGGTAGTGCGGTTTTGGATATGTACGCAAAATGCAAGAATTTGGACGAGTCCCTACGCTTTTTTCACACGATGCCAGTGAGAAATTGGGTTTCTTGGAGTGCAATAATAGCGGGCTGCATTCAAAACGATGAGCATATGAGTGGCTAATGGCTTGCAACTGTTTAAAGAGATGCAGAAGGAAGGAATTGGGGTCGGCCAGTCTATATACGCAAGTGTCTTTAGGTCTTAAAGAAATGCGACAGTTTAGTTAATGCCCAGAAAGTGACTTTTTGCCAGATTACAACTTGCAGTTCCATAACGCGTCAATCACAGTTTACGCCAGAAGTCATCGTGGGTTCGAAGGTTTCGAGTTGTTTATACATTTATTGAGGTCCGGTCTCAGTTTTGACGAAAGAAGCCTCTCGGGCGCATTCAGTGCGTGTGCAGTAATCAGAGGACGGTTAGAAGGAACTCAATTGCACGGTTTAGCTGCCAAGACTCCGTTTTTATACAGTATTTGTGTTGCCAACACCATTTTGGATGCGTAAGGTAAATGTGGACCTTTACAGGAAGCTCGTCAAGTATTTGACGAGATGGAAGTAAGAGATGCCGTGTCTTGGAATTCTGTCATTGCAGCTTGTGAACAGAACAAAAACGACGAGACCTTGTCGCTATTTGTTTCCATGCTTCGGTTGAGGATGGAGCCAGACGAGTTCACGTTTGGGAGCGTAATAAAATCCTGTGCAAGAGAACGAGCTTTGGGTCATGGGAAGAAAGTTCACGGGCGGGTGATTAAGTCCGAGTTGGGAAAAGACTCGTTCTTGGGGAGCGTGCTAGTCATGGCGTGCGTGTACGCTCACCACGGGCTCGGTCGAGAAGCTCGAGGGAATAGTCCCGAACCACGCAACTTTCGTGGAGGTCCTTTGAGCGTGTGGGCACATTAGGCTTGTAGACAAGGCGCTCGGTTACTTTAACATTATGAAAAACGAGCACGAGTTAGAGCCTCAACTCAAGCAACTCAGGCCATGTGGCGGATGCACTAAGATGATTCGAGAAATGACGTTGGAATCCGATGATGTGATTTGGAGGATGCTTTTGAGCACGTGTAGAATGCACGGGAATGTGGAGGTAGCCGAGAAAGCGACGAGTGCCCTTCTCAAGCTCGACACACAAGACTCGTCGGGTTGCGTGCTTCTTTTGAATGTGTATGCGGATGTAGGGATGTGGGGCTGGGTTTCAAAGATGAGGAGAGTGATGAGGCATGGGAGGATGAAGAAGGAGCCCGGGTGCAGCTGGGGCGAGCTGCAGTCGGAAGTGCACATGTTTCTTGCCGGAGATAAGGCGCACCCGAGGTGCCGTGAGATTTACAGAAGATTGAATATTTGAATTTGTTGATTGGAGAGATGAAGATGGATGTTTGTGGAGAGGTTTTGAGGATGGATGAATCTTGGGCATATCAGGTGTAAGCAGGGCTGCAAACGAATCGAGTCGAGAGCATGGACCTTGTCCAGCGCAGATCGAACTTTTGTCTTCACTGCTCGGTGATCCATGTAAAATGGGCTCGACTCGACTCGTGAAAAAAATAAGAATGCTTGAGATCAATTCGATAATTCGATATGGCTCGAGTTCGGCTCGAAATTTTAACAACTAAGTTGAATCCAAATAGTCAATTTTCGCCTTGGTCGAGCTCGAGTCGAGAATTGACTCGAGCGCTCGACTCATTTGCAGTCCTAAATGTAAGAACTTAAGAAGTATGGGTGGTTTTATCTTATTACTGGATACTCTGTTTTTTTTTTTTCAAAATGATAGAGATATTATATATAAACGCAAAACTGTGCAAAGGTACAACCAACAGTTGAATCCAAACAGCTAACAGCTGTTTATTTATTTATTTTGGTTGATTAATTGAAATACTGTAACGATGGCATTATAATGTTCGGACAGAAAAAAAAAAAAATGTTATGAGAGTACACTTAAGAACTATATTGGGGACTTTATATAGCAGAAATTCTATGGTGCCCATATGGGCACCATAGAATTTCTGCTTTAATAGTCAAAAAATTTATATATGGAGATGGGATCATAGTTTTTAAAACCCGGCTCGGGAATCGACCCGGGCAGGTCTCCGGGTCACCGGGTCACCGGTTCAACCGCCGGGTCACCGGGTCAATTGCTGAACTGGATAATTAATTTTAAATTTTTTTAAATTATATATAGAGTATTTTGTCTTATAAATATACATAAAAATAACAAAATTAAATATTTTGTATATAAAATTTACACATTAAAGTGCTAATAATATGTATTTCATGATAAATATTGACCATATAAATATATATATATAGTTTTATATTTTTTAAACAAAAAATATATTAAAAAATAAAAAAATAATAAAAAAAATATATAGGACCGGGTCAACCGGGTTGACCCAGCCGGGTCAATGCCCCGGGTCGGCCGGGTCAATGCCGGGTTGACCGGGTTTTGACCGGGTCCGTTGTTTCCCGGTCCGAATAGCCCACCCGGACCGGTTCCAGCTCCGGGTCGATCGGGTCCCGGGTCGACCCGCCGGGCCGGTCCGGGTTGAAAAACACTAGATGGGATGCAGATTGAAATTTCGTCTATAATTTTTTCTTTTGAAATTTTAGTAAATTTAGAAAAGTCAAAACAAAATTGTAACTCAAATAGAAAAATAGTTCATAACTCTTTAAACTATTTAAAACAAAATTGTGACTCAAATAAAAAAATATTTCATAACTATTGTTTCCAGATATTTAAAAGTTTTTAAGAAATTTCAAACAAATACGTATTTTTTAATTTCAAAAAATATAATATATTGATTACAAATATTAAGAAACAAGTTTTAAAAAAATACATAAAAATTATTTCAGTTTCCCGCTCAATTTTCCCCCTAAAATTTTATTTGAAATTTTTACATGTACGTTTTCATTATTTTAGATGAGATTTGGTAACAATCTGTGCGGCTGAAATTTTGTTTTACCTTAAATAAAAAGATCACACAGAAGATTTTTAGCATACATGTCATATTATCTAATTTCCATACCTCTACCACTCACTGAAGAAAAATTCAAAAGTCTTTCAAACCTGAAACCCAATTCGGCCACATTCACTCGCTCCATTAAAATTCGCCTCGATTAGCTTGAAAAAAAAATCTCAAAACCTCGCAAACCCGAAACCACAAATCTGCCAAAAAAATTCGCCTCAATTAGCTTGAGGAAAAATACCAAAAGCCTCGCTGAGAACCCGAGATCCCAATTCGGCCAAAATTCTGCTTCTCCTTCACCGAGATAGCCGGCTGCTATCGCCACGAGCTCTCAATCAGCTTCGGAGTCGGGCTTGGGTCGAGCCCGCTGCTTAAATTTAGATACAGGGTGAACGAAGCCTGCCACCCGTTCGGCATGTCCCTGATGTTTTTTTTTTTTCTTTTGCTTTTTTTCTTTTTGTTTTTTTTTGGTTTCATGTTTTTTTTAGGAAATTTGGGCTGTTGAGCCGTGTCAAGCGTCACTGTGCAGGAAAATAAATCGTCGGAGCTGGGAAAACTCTATTTGCTTGATGGAAGTTTGCATATACCCGTTTGATACACCAGCAAAAGAAAAGGTCCTCAAGCAAAAACTTCTCTTTGACTTGATGATGCTGAATTTCATTTTTTCGTTGTGTTTGTGTACAAACTCAATTCCCTTTCGAGGAGAGAGGTACGGGTCAAAATAGCCATTGAAGCATGTGGGAAGATCTCAATTTCCAACAAATTGGTGCGATTTGTGTCTTTTGAAGCTGCAACAAAATACCTTTTCACGTATTTGGGTCTTTCGAATCTACCTCAAATTTGGTTAATTCATCTCATTATTCTTACGAAATAATCACATTTTATTTTGAATTGGTTCCTTTCTTTATTATCTTTTGCATAACTTTTTATTTTCTTCTTCTTGTTCGAGTAGTGTAAAGGTGAACTTTTTAATGCTTTAGTTAGCATTTTCTGGAAATTCCTGTTCATAATGTAGAGTGTGAATTTCCTTATTTGATGACATTGTTTGGGAACAAGTTGGTACATGTGGAACATATTTGTCGATATGAAATTTATTCGTCATTCATCCTACTATTCTATTGAGTATTGTTTCTTATGTTGGACATTTAATAAATTTCGTTTATACTTCTATCTTTTCTAGGATTCCAAAGCCCAAGCGACAACTATACACCTAATAATTGAGACGGCACAAAATGAATTTCTTTAGTGTTGCAAACATGGATATCTAAGCATTATATTTGTACATCATATCACATTTTTTATTATTTTCAGTATCCGAATAATCGTTTAATGAAATCAGATTACGGCAGAGCATTTTATGCGCGTTCGTGCAATTTACAGGTATATTCATAACGATTAGGCGGAATCACTGTTCTAAAAATCGGCCTAGGCGGCGCCTAGGCACTAGGTGATGCCCGGGCACCTTCGATTTGTACAAATCGGTAGAAAAAATAGGCCAGGCGGCTAGGCGGCGCCTAGGCGGGCTTGGCGGGCGTCTAGGTGGGCGTAGGCGGACCTAGGCGCTCCTAGGTGGGCTCGGCGACAATTTTTCAGTTTTTATTTTAATACTAATTACATTATTTTGTTCTCATGTTTTCTTTAATATATATTAATATTATTATTTGGACTTTGGTGTGTGAATTTATTATAAGTTGAGATAGTTTTATTTTGTAGGTAGTTAAAATAAATAAAAAATAAGGTATTTAATATTGATTTCTAAGCCCCGACTAGGTGCCGCCTAGGCCCCGACTAGGCGCTCTAGGCGTTAGGCGCTGGTCGAGCGCCTAGCGACTTTTAGAATACTGGGTGGAATTGAATAAACCCTAAGCATGTAATTCTATCAATTCATAGAACATGGATCTTTGGATAAATTAAATTGCAACTTACAAGAATCCAGCTTATAGTTCTTTCCTATTTTTTTGATCTTTGATGTTGATCTGCTAATCTCCAATTATGGATTTGTCTTTGCCTTTGAATTAGGTGGTATTTCCTCATCTTTAAAAACTCAAATATGGAGGGCCATGGGAGTGAAGAGCCGTTGACGAAATGAGACGAAATAAAACGAAATGCGTCTCTCTTCCGCGTCTCTCGTCTTTCCATAAAGACCTTGATGTTGAGAACTTTATTTCGTATATGCCGAGAGAGAGAGGGGCATGTAGTAATATATATAGGAGGTGACCTATAATCCTAATCCTACTAACATTCCTCATGTTCTAACCTAAGGCTAAGTCAAACATCACAAATTGGACTCTTTAATATTAGAACATTAATAATTCATTAAATACATATTCACCTTAATTAAGTTTGACTATTAATTTAATTAGGTCCAACTAATTATATGGTCCACAATAATAGAATAATATAAAATATTATTACATAGAACATCCGTTGTTCGTGTCCTTTGCGGAATAATTGATCCACATTTTCGAAGGACCCGATCCAAAACTGCCATGTCTGTGTGAAGTAATATAGATCATTCGAATCGGAGAGCTACTCGGTATATCATCCTTTTTTTTGCCTATCTTATTTTTCATTGTGGCGTGGATTGTTCGAGCTAATTTCGGGGGCATGTTTGGTTGGGACGATCCGTGTTGTGGTTGTTTGAAGTAATTTTGTCTTTCTTCTTCGAGGAGCAAGTCCCCTGTTTATGTGATGTTTTTCCATAAAAACCATGTTCTTTGCATATCTTTGCGTTTTGCGCAACTCGGGTGCTGTGTTGGAAAGGGGGTAAATTATATAATTTAAGTAATAGTTGGACATGTCTCCAAAAATAGTGTAGACGACTTAATTTTCTATAACTGTGATGTGTTCAGTGAACATTTTAATTGCGTGAGGATTTTAACATTTAAAATACCAAATATGTATTAGCTTAAATAGGGAAAACAAAATTAATTTATGTCACAACTTTACTAACTCTGATATAAATGTTTTGTGTTAGATTTACTTGGTGAGCATGGACATTGAAATGGAGGATATCAAAGTAATCGTGGTGGTTGAAGAAATAATTAACATGCTCAATCATATGTTATTGCTTGGTTTTGTTTGTTATAAACTTTTTGCCCAAATGAACCGATCGCGTGGGACATCCTTTGCTGGTATACGTACTTCGTTTAATATGTCCCATAGGTTGCCGAAGCAAATTGAGCATATGACAGAACTAATAAGCATTAGTGATAATACTCGTGTCGTCCAACAACTTCGATGGACCGGTCGTGCTTTCGCAATGTGGATATGAATTTTGCTTACGTGCTTTCGGGTTGTATGCAAAACGTAGTACCGAAGGAATAAAAAAGAGCCAGGGCTGTGTACACACAATTTTTAAAAAAACTTTTTGCCCAAATGTACCAGTTTTAGCAAAACAGCGCCTCATGGGAATTAGAAATGAACTCATCGAAAGAGCTACAACAACAAAGATTCCATTGTTTGTTCTAAAACCCAACCGCTAACGAAAAGCAAGATCAAGACTCAGATAAATGAAAGGCACAAATCAAAATATTAAAAATAAAAAATGAGATGAATCTAATGTTTTATTCACTGTTCGAATTTTCAGAAATGGTACGGATCTTTCTATTATTTTTGTTATTTTTTCCTTTCTGTAGATCCGGATCTGTGTTGGTTTTGTCTATGTATTCATATGTATTCATATCCAGATCTATGGATCTGAATCTAACACACAATAGATGATCTGGTAGATATAATGTTCTCCTATATATATGCTAATACGGATATTTTCTTGCCATTAACAGGTTGCTCCAAGCTTCTTCCACACCAACCATGCATTTAAAGAAGTATCGCAGGTAAAATAGGGTTTGAGTGCAATTATTCGTGAATAAATTATCCTTTGTTTTGATTCCTTTGTTGACTGGTGTCTTTAAGTCAAAGAAAAGAAAGAGGCATCATTCATTTTTCAGCTATCTTATCAGAATGGTTGTTCTTTTCATGTTGGCTCAGATATGAAACAATATTTTTGTTGCCATTCGCTTAAACTGAATTATAACATTCGATTTTGGTGTCTCAAAACTCATTACGCTTCAAAACTCATTACGCTGTTTTGCTCTCTGGTTTTGAGAATGACAATTGCTTTTCACACATCTCGAATCTTCAGAAACGGTATGGATCTTTTTGTTATATTTTTATTCTTTTTAAATTAACAAGCATTCGTATGCACTAATATATACTGATTTACGTAATCAACAATCAAACAGGCAACATGAAAAGAACGCCATTCTGACTAATGTCAAAGCATTGGGTCTTTTGTTCAATTCCAAAAAAAAAAACTAAAAACTAATTAATTTACTCTGGTAGTGTGGCAGTGTTTAACTCCTAAGCCAGAAATAATGATGATATAGATATAAGACTAAAATGTGAAAAATATTTTGTTGTGAAAATCCCGCCTTTCTTCCCGACTTCTCTTCTTCTTCTTTCATACTATATCTTTTCATTCTTAACAAACTTTTCTAATCCTCACATCTAATTTACTACAATTTACAAATAATATTTATAAGCTATCTTTTCATTTTTAACATCTTTTTCTCATCCCCACAACTAATTTACTATAATTTACAAATAATATTTATAAGCTTGAAAAAACTATTCAACAATATCTATGTACGATATTAAAGCACCTATAACACATTTAAAAATATCTAAAATATCCTATATTTGTTTTCAAAAAATGTATGAAATTATCTAAAATTTTCTGAAATATTCTCTCCTAAATTAAATTGTTCTATGATAATGTACTAAAATATTTTATATACATCATGAAATATAACTTTCATCAAAGTTGTTTCAAGCACACATAACCCTTGTATTGTTATGTAATTTTGTAAGACTAGAATGTATTTCATATTCAACATTAGATAACCTAAGAGAAATGTTGACATATTAAATTTTAAATCATGCATAGTATAAAATAATAGAGTGTTTTACAATTATAGAAATATCGACAATAGTAATTAATTATGCAGTTTGCAAAAAAACTATTCTAAAAAATTGTGTGAATGATAAATTTTATTTTAATATTATTTAATAAATATTATTCATTTTTTGTGTATTTAATTGCTCAAATCGTGGATAATTACGGAAATAATTTGACCGTAAAAATTTACACTTTTAAGATACCTTAATTACGCAAATCGTGTAAATTTAGTTGATTTATTTAATTATAATTTCTTATAAAACTATTCTAAATTATTTTTTAATAACTATTTTTAAGGTATTTTTTATTTTTATCTATAATAAATGTGTTGTACGCTGTGCAATTAATTCTGTGGTTAAACTGAATATCATTTTTTTCTTGTATTTTATCAATAAAGTATAAAATTGAATTATTTGGTATATTATATATTTATCCAATATATCCGCTTATGATAATAAATGGTATCTCAATATTTTTTTTATATTGCTAAGTATTTTACTCGATATTAATGAAAGAAAATTTTGAATAAATATTATGGTCGATTCTTCTTTGTAAATGTGCATGGAACATATCAAATCATTGGGTGTGTTTGTGTGTGTATAAATGTTTGTTTTTACTTAAATCACATTGTAGTCAAATTGAATTTCTGAATAAAAATTTTAAAATGACACATATTTTGAAATGAATATAATGTAACTTATTATAATTTATTTGCACCGTATGGGTCATGTACTAATTTTAAATAGATAGGTTTTTATATAATTTTGCACAATTTAAATTTCATATAACATTTTCAACAATTAATATAGGTAAATTGTACTATATATTGATTCCATATTTTTAATTTATAAATATTATTTAATGAGCATTTGTAATTTATAAATATTAATGAATATTTCTTATTGCAGTACTAATTTTGTGGAAGAATTGGGGTATTTTTAATGTTTATATCTTTCATAAGAAAAAAGCATAATGAATAAAAATACTTTATTTGTTAAACAAACCAAATCCTACTAGAAATCTATATATATATAATAAGAATTAACATTTACCATAAATAGTAGTAAGAAAAAGTCAACCACATTTATTATATACTATTTTCAGCAACTTTTACATTTTACATTTTAATTTTAATTCATTATCAAAAAATTGGATGGTTCCTAAATTAATGAGTTTTAAATGCACGTATCATGTTTCAAAAATTATAAGTCATTTAAAATCGGAGAGTTCATAAATTAATGGTCACAAACTTTTCAAAGTTGTAATCTTTATGGCATCTTTTCTTTTTGACTTTTAATAATAAAATTATTTTAAACATATATATTCTAATCCAAAAATTCAATCATGTTAAATATATATATATATATATAATATTTTTTAAATTGCATACCCAATCAATTAATCTTAATTTTTTTAAAATTACTATGTTTATTATTTATTAATATGTATAAAATAAAAATAAATAGTTCATATTTGGATATATAATTTATAATCTTAATATACTATCATTTGGTGTAGACATATGAACAATAAAATATTTTTATTTCATAAAATTAAATATTATATTTAAAGAAAATAAGGAAATTACTTTGGATCAATCGGGTGATTGAATTAGGGTACTGCCCACTTTGATTGAATTACTTTTAGGTGATATTTAAAATAGTCAAAAAACTTGACATAACTTAGTTGGTCCGAGGTAATTAAGTTATTTATCAGTTTGACCAGACCAAATTGATTATTGAACCTAAATATAAATTTTAATATTGAAAATACTTTATTACGTGAATGTGATGTCGTCCAAACTTCAAATAATCATATTAACAATACTTTTATGACAACGTGATTAATGATTTATGAATATTTATATATCATTTTATTATTATTTATGTGAACAAAATATTTATTTCATTATCATTTTTATTAATATACGGTAAATATAAGGTTTTCAGAATCGCACCGTCTTGTGGTTGTTCAGATTTTAATACATAATACTTTAATATATATATATAGTACTTTTTGTAATAAATTTAAATAGAAAGTGTTACTTAAATATCTAAACAATTTATAAATTCAAATGTTTAAACTAATTGATAAACAATTTATAGATCTCTATTTTATTTAAATATGTAATTTTATTTAAAATAAATTTTCATGTAACAAAATTTGTTTAGAAAATCGTATCGATCTTACCAGTCCAACATACTGGTGTTGGCGGATTCGATAGCAAATATTTTATTCAAGCGTACTAAATCTGTTATAAACCGGTTCTCGGTCCATCCGGTCGGACTGTGTCCAACCCGGTTTAATTTATAAATAATGGGTAAATCATGATTAATGTTATTTATTTATTTAATTTATAATACAATCAAAATATTATTTTCCCGTGCATCGCACGGGCCACGTACTAGTATAAACATGAAAAATACAAAAAAATAAATAAATGAGAATAACCACTAGGGGACAAAATCAGAAAACTAGATTCGCTGTCGAGGTATTGGTATAATGACGCTACCAAGTACCAAGTGAGTCAGAGTTCTCCCTTCTTCCGTGGATACTGTATCTTAACAAGAAGGCAGCTTTTAGGTCAATTGCACCTACTTTAACTAGTACCTTTCGTTTACCAGCACGGGGAAACCCTTTACCTCAAATTGTAAATTAATACTAGGATATTTTCCTTCAATTTTTATTGAGTTTTCGATTTTCGCCAATCTATAAAATTCAAACTTAACTTTCTATTATTTTTTTATTTGAAAAAAAATAAAGAATGAAAATTATATTTTCACATACATTGTGGATTGGATAGACTGCAAACTAGTAGAGTCGAAATGAGATTTGATCTTATCGTGGGCTCGATTTTTCCACAATTGCTTGAGCTCAATCTTGACTTTTTAAAATTCCACTCGACTGACAGATACAAATATTTCAAATCAGATCAAACTCGACTCATAATTTTATCAACTCGAATTTCACTAGGTTTCAACTTTAATTTTCAATTAAAATTTTGTATTCAGATAAGCTTTCTTGCGTTTGACTCGATTTTAGCTCGTTATAGGAATATTTAGGTAAACTACTGTACACTCGAGCAACTAGTCAATCACTGAAACTTATAATATATATGTTTGATTACGACTAGAGTTCAAATTCGAAGTGCTCGAGCTCAAACCAATTTTTGACTTAAGCACTCTCGAGCCACTCGATTTGTTGGCAATCATCTTTGGATAATGGATAAAAAGCATAAAAACAACACTAAGTTATATTCTTAAATTAAAAAGGCAAAATAATGTAACCAATTGATTAGTTAGTATTAAATCTTGCACAAAAATAATTACTGTAGTTCAAGCTCACGTCCAGTTAACGGCGAAACATCACCCGCCAAGCATGAATTCAAGAGCCGGCGGCAATGGCGACGGTTTCTTATTCCTCAACCAACCGTCTCATCAAACCTTTATTCATCCGCACACTTTCCACATTCGCACCAAAAATTCAGCCGAACCCATTTTATAAGGAGACGTTTTCCCATTTGTTCCAAGAATGCTCCAGAGAGCGGTCCCTCGAACCGGGCCGGCAGGCCAACGCCCGGATGATAGCGTCGGGCTTCGAACCCACGGTCTTCGTCGCCAACTGTTTTCTGAAGATGTGCAGAAGATGCTCCCGTTTGGACACTGCTCGGAAAGCGTTCGATAAAATGTCCCAACGGGATGTTATCTCATGGAACTCTCTGATTTCTGGGTATGCAGTCTGTGGGAAAATGGATATAGCCCAATCGAGTTTCGGATCGATGACGGAGAGGGATGTGATTTCGTGGAACTCTCTGATCTCTGGTTACTTTCATAAAGGGAATTGTAACCAATTGACGAGACCACTTTTGCCATTGTTCTGAAAGCTTGTTTGGGTTTAGGAAATGCTATTTGCGTTATCAGGTGCACTTGTGTTGTGGTCAAGTCGGGATTCGAGGATGATGTGGCGACGGGTAGTGCGGTTTTGGATATGTACGCAAAATGCAAGAATTTGGACGAGTCCCTACGCTTTTTTCACACGATGCCAGTAAGAAATTGGGTTTCTTGGAGTGCAATAATCGCGGGCTGCATTCAAAATAATGAGCATATGAGTGGCTTGAAACTGTTTAAAGAGATGCAGAAGGAAGGAATTGGGGTCAGCCAATCTATATACGCAAGTGTCTTTAGGTCTTAAAGAAATGCGACAGTTTAGTTAATGCCCGGAAAGTGTTCGACTTTTTGCCAGATTACAACTTGCAGTCCCATAACACGTCAATCACAGGTTACGCCAGAAGTCATCGTTGGTTTGAAGGTTTCGAGTTGTTTATACGTTTATTGAGGTCCGGTCTCGGTTTTGACGAAATAAGCCTCTCGGGCGCATTCAGTGCGTGTGCAGTAATCAGAGGACGGTTAGAAGGAACTCAATTGCACGGTTTAGCTGCCAAGACTCCGTTTTTATACAGTATTTGCATTGCCAACGCCATTTTGGATGCGTAAGGTAAATGTGGATCTTTACAGGAAGCTCGTCAAGTATTTGACGAGATGGAAGTAAGAGATGCCGTGTCTTGGAATTCTGTCATTGCAGCATCTGAACAGAACAAAAACGACGAGACCTTGTCGCTATTTGTTTCCATGCTTCAGTTGAGGATGGAGCCAGACGAGTTCACGTTCGGGAGCTTATTAAAAGCTTGTGCAGGAGAACGAGCTTTGGGTCATGGGAAGGAAGTTCACGGGCAGGTGATTAAATCCGAGTTGGGAAAGGACTCTTCGTGGGGAGCCATTGCGTGCGTGTACGCTAACCACGGGCTCGGTCGAGAAGCTCGAGGGAATAGTTTCAAACCACGCAACTTTCGTGGAGGTCCTTCAAGCGTGTGGGCACATCAGGCTTGTAGACGAGGCGCTCGGTTACCTTAACATTATGAAAAACCTTGTGTTCATTATCATCAGTGGAACCTTGTGTTCAAAGCGGTTGGATCACAATTCTTTTGCAGTAGAACCTTGTGTTCATTATCATCAGTGGACGTTTGGAGTTCTGTACCGGAGTAATATTGCGGTTGTTTGCAAGGATTTGATGTCAGTCAATATTATCTAGTTCATAATAACATATCCATTTTGGTTGTCTGGATGATGTGATCATCCAAGGGATTTGAAATCCTTACCCTCATACTTTAATCTAATTGTTTGAGTTATCCTGCTGGATTAATGTCTGTAATTTATAACTTAACTCTGAATATTTCACCCGAATCATCATTTTCCTATGCAGCTTGTATACGTTCACTTAAATGCACCTTTGCATGTTCCCAATTGCTTGTATGCCCATTCCTCTAGTAACTACAAACGGACTTAGTTCAACTTTTGCCAATTCTAATAGAAGACACTACCTTTTAGTTTTCTTCATCCGTTTCTTGTTTTAGGCTTTGAATGTGCGGTTGGCGATTTTCATTCTTGAATTGAATTAATTTATGGACAGGCTGTTGACACAGCCGTAAGGGTCTTGAAGGAAGGTGGGATGGATGGCTATTAAGCTGGAAGGTGGGGCCCCTTCAAGAATCACTGCAGCCAAAGCTATAGTCGAGGCTGGTATTGCCGTGATGGGCCATGTGGGACTTACACCTCAGGCCATTAGTGTTCTCGGAGGTTTCAGGCCCCAGGGCAGAAATGTCGATAGTGCAGTCAAGGTACATTTTTTNTTCAATGGCCTTGCAAGAGGCGGGGTGTTTTGCTGTTGTGTTGGAATGTGTTCCTCCGCCTGTGGCTGCAGCCACAAGGTCCACCGAGGTGCTGTGAGATTTACAGGAGATTGAATTTGTTGATTGGAGAGATGAAGATGGATGTTTGTGGAGAGGTTTTGAGGATGGATGAATCTTGGGCATATCAGGTGTAAGCAGGGTTGCAAACGAGTCGAGTCGAGAGCATGGACCTTGTCCAGCGTAGATCGAACTTTTGTTTTCACTGCTCGGTGATCCATGTAAAATGGGCCTCGACTCGACTCGTGAAAAAAATAAGAATGCTTGAGATCGATTCGATATTCGACATGGCTCGAGTTCGGCTCGAAAATTTAACAACTAAGTTTAATCTAAATTGAAATTTTAACAACTAAGTTTAATCTAAATAGTCAATGTTGGCCTTGGTCGAGCTCGAATCGAGAATTGACTCGAGCGCTCGACTAATTTGCAGTCGTAAGTGTAAGAACTTGAGAAGTATGGGTGGTTTTATCTTATTACTGGATACTCTGTTTTTTAATATACAAGAAGTGTAACTGTTTTTTATTTATTTATTTATTTTGGTTGATTAATTGAAATACTGTAACGATGGCATGATAATGTTCGGACAGAAAAAAAAAATAAAAAATGTTATGAGAGTACACTTAAGAACTATCTTGGGGACTTTCTATAGTCAAAAAATTTATATATGGAGATGGGATGCAAATTGAAATTTCGTATATAATTTTTTCTTTTGAAATTTTAGTAAATTTAAAAAAGTCAAAACAAAATTGTGACTCAAATAAAAATATATTTCATAACTCTTTAAACTATTTAAAACAAAATTGTGACTCAAATAAAAAAAGATTTCATAACTATTGTTTATTTAAAAGTTTTAAGAAATCTCAAACAAATACACATTTTTTAATTTTAAAAAGTATAATATATTTATTACGAATATTAAACTCTTAATTTATTACTATATAATACAGTTAAGAAAAAAGTTTTAAAAAAATACATAAAAATTATTTCAGTTTCTCGCTCAAATCTTTATTTTCCCTCTAAAATTTTATTTGAAATTTTTACATTTACGTTTTCATTATTTTAGATGAGATTTGGTACCAATCTGTGCGGCTGAAATTTTGTTTTACCTTAAATAAAAAGATCACACAAAAGATTTTTTTGCATACATTTCATATTATCTAATTTCCATACCTCTACCACTCACTGAAGAAAAATTCAAAAGTCTTTCAAACCCGAAACCCAATTCGGCCATAAATTCACTCGCTCCATTGTTTGGTACACAAATAAGCTAGCTTATAGCCTGTTTGGTTAGCTTATAAGATCCCAGTATTCAAATAATTCTCTTTTGGTAGGACGAACTTTTTTAAAAAGCTTGAGCTTATTTGAAAAGCTTCTTTAGATAGCTTTTCAAATAAGTTAGTTGAATTTTTTTACTCCAGGCTCCAGCTAGCTTATCATCTAATTTTACTAAACACTTTTATCATATAAGCTAACTTTTCAGCTATAGGTCATAAGCTATAAGCTATAAGCTCAAAAATTACCGATAAGCTATAAGCTAGCTTATCAGCTAGTTTTACCAAACATAGAAAAATTACTGATAAGCTATAAGCTAGCTTATCAGCTAGTTTTACCAAACATAGCCTAAAATTCGCCTCGATTAGCTTGAGAAAAAAATCTCAAAACCTCGCGAACCCGAACACAAATCTGCCAAAATTATCCTTCTCTGTCGCTGGATCCATTAAAATTCGCCTCGATTAGCTAGAGGAAAAATACCAAAAGCATCGCTGAGAACCCGAAATCCCAATTCGGCCAAAATCCTGCTTCTCCTTCGCCGAGATAGCCGGCTGCAATCGCCACGAGCTCTCAACCAGCTTCGGAGTCGGGCTTGGGTCGGGCCTGCTGCTTAAATTTAGATACAGGGTGAACGACCGTTCGACATGTCTCTGAAGATTTTTGTCTTTTGCTTTCTTTTTTTTCTTTCTTTTTTTTTTTTTTTTTT